TCTCTCTCCCTGCATTGTGATTGTCGTTTCTTCTCTTCATCGTGATCTTTCGTTCCTGGGGCATGCCTATCTGCTACTTATAGGCATGTGATAAATGAGAGGTAGAGGCGATTAACTGTCCTCTATACATCGCACGAAATGATGGAATCATCCAGACATATTGAATAACAATAACAGGAGGAGGATAGAGAATTGGGAGACAAGGTTTTTCTGAACAGGCACTTAGGAAGATCAATCCGACATTGATTCCCTGTCGATTCATTTAGTATGCCTTCTTAAATTGACTATTAAGCAGTGGGGTCTTCTTAAATTGACTGCCAAGAGGAGTGAAGGTTGATCATGGAGGCAAGATTGAGGAGGGAGATGACATTAGTTGAATCTTCTACTTCTTCACCTTCTCTCCCTGTTTCCTCATTCCTCTTCTTCTGCAGTTGCACCGGATAATGTGATCTCAAATTTGAATTTTGCATCATGAATGAGCCACGATCATAGCACACCTGGAAAAGCTTGTGTTTGTCTCCTTCCTCCTCCGCAGCTTTCACCTCTGCTGAATCAAGAGAGATGACAATCTGTGTCATTCCTGTCCGTAGAAGACTTGCTGCATACCTGTGTGAAAGATTATTGAAACAGCAATGCATGATCAATGAATTTAGTAGGGTGAGCAGTAGCCTGCATGTCATATGCAGCAACTTCCACAAAACCTGCTCTTGCCCAGTCCGAAACTGGCATGAACCATTTCAACTAGTTCGGGGCACAGAGAACGAAGTCATGAAAGATGTAGCCCCAGATGAAGCATAGGCATAAGAGGTTCAACAAGCAAGAGAGAAAGCATGTACGAAAGGCAAAAAGATTCATTCAAGCAAACGAGCAAACACTGATGGCTAAAGAGTGCAGCGCCATGTATTCATGTCTGTCAAATTTTCGTGGTCCACACATACATTGAATGATACGAATCTCGCATAGAAAAGTGAGGGAAGACGACAACGAGACCGAAGATGAAGACAAAGATGGCAATGTGAGGAAGAACAAGGAGAAGATGAAAAAGAAGAATAGGAGGACAATGACAAGGGGACAACGACAAGGACGACGAAGACTCGCATACAAAAGTGAGGGCAGACGACAAAGAGACCGAACATGAAGACAAAGATGACAATGTGAGGAAGAACAAGGAGAAGATAAAAAATAAGAATAGGAGGAGGACAATGACGAGGCGACAACGACAAGGACGACGGAGAAGTAGACAAACGGCAACAACAAAGAATACGACAATGACAAAAGAAAGAAGAAGAAGAAGAAGAAGAAGAAGAAGAAAGGAACCACACAATGAGAACACCAATATTCCAAAATCGAAAATCTCACGGAAGACCAAACATGAAGAAAACCGCAGCAGAATGCACACCAATTAGTAGAAAACAGAACACTGAAGTCGCTTAAGAAAGCCCAACTTCCACTCCCAAGAATCAAAGTAGTCCTACTTGCGTCCAACTACATATACTCATGCTAACCTCTACCACCTTACGCACTGTCACTGTGTCACTCGCCCAATGCCGCTTGAAGACTCTACTCATACATGCTTACTCTGCCAACAACAGGCAAGAATCACCAGTCTGAACTGTCTTCTTTTTTCCTGACCTCCAAATTCCTTGAGCCCATCTATGGCTGGTACTCACTAACAGCCACTGCAGCTGCTCTCTTTCTTCAGGCACTGTCGTCCTGTCCACCACACAACAGCGCTCACGCCTTGCAGTGATCTACCCGAATGTCCTTTGACTAGCGGCCTCCATTCCTATGTACTGGAGAGGAGGCCGCATCCCTACCTAGTAGACCGCAGTAGGCAGTGCCTAGGGCCTATTGGGACTGTCTGGAGATCCTAGCCTCTGTAACTAACCCGCAGGCAGGCCTACCAGTTAGTTACACGGGCTGGCGCCTGTCAACAGACCCGCAATGTTCTTGCAGTTTAGTAGGGGGCTGTACCACTAACTAGGAGAATTCAGTAATTTTTTGGAGTTCTAGGTCCTGACGGGTAACTGAAACACGCTTAAACCGCAACTCCCCCTGACACCCAGAAATTGGCATTCTGGTGAGCAAGGAGCGGGTCTTTAGAGGGGACGCCAACCAGCAGGCGCAGGCGGGTCCAGTCTCGCATTTTCAAGCGGCAACTTTGGCGATTTTCGCACGCAGAAGAATTGCCAAACAGATCTGAAAAATTGAGGTCCTCTGCGTAAGGTCGTGATCTTTCCAATGCAAGGAATATGAGTGTGAACGATATACAGAAAACCAAGTTGCGAAATCACACAGATGTCCAAGTAGTCGTGTACGAGCAGAGAGCACATTTGCACCGAGAATCCATCCAAATAGAGCAATACAATGAAGTAACGAGCCAATGGTCAAGCCCTCAGGCCACACCAACACAGTATCCAAAGACTGTCCGGCGCCCAGCGCCCAGCCTACCCTACTCGACTATCCTACCTACAGCTGTGTTCATGCAACAGGCTGACTTCGACTCTCGAAGACCAATGTACATGATGTCAACACCATAGCCGACCTCTCTTCCTGCACCAGGTACGTATCTCGTCTCCCTCATCACCAGATCGCACCCTTCCCTGCCGACCTCTCTTCCTGCACCAACACCATAGCCGACCTATCTCCTTGGCAGATTCTTCTATGTGAGATCTGACCATGAGACCTTGCGCTGGATTAAGACACAGTCGGTACTCTCCGACGCACTCAAGCGATGGATACAAGTGATAGACATGTATGACTATCAACTTGATCCAATCAAGGGTGAGTACAACAAAGTAGATGATGCACTATCTCGTCGGGCAGATTATCTGGGTGCACTAGTGACTGAATTTGGCATATCTAGCAACTTAACTCGATCATTGGTGGATGCTTATCAGCAAGATCCAGTTATGTCTGAGATCATCCGTAGATTTCAAAGCAAGGACAAAAAAACTTTGGATGAATTTACGATGGTAGATGGCTTGTTGTTTCTTGTGAAGGCAGCGAATAAAAGATTATGTCTTCCCAGTAGTGAGTCTTTGCGTAGTTTATTTTTAGGGGAATGTTATGATGCAACTGGTCATTTTGGCTATAAAAAGACTTCAGCTAACTTAGTTCAGAAGTTTTGGTGGCCCACTATGATGCAAGATGCGAAAATGTATGTTGAAACTTGCCAGGTCTGTCGAAGGGACAAACCTAGGACTCAGGCTGCGCTTGGACTCATCAAGCCCTTGCCGATTCCTGAAGGACCTGGTCAAAGTGTGTCCATGGACTTCATGGATACTCTTGTGACCAGTAAGTCTGGCAAAAGGCACATCTTCGTAATAGTGGACCGCTTTACTAAGTATGCAAGACTGATCGCTATGCCAGAAACTGCTAAAACGGACTATGTCATCAAACTGTTTCTGGATAACTGGGTCAGGGATTTCGGACTACCTACGTTAATAGTAAGTGACAGGGATGTAAGCTTTACCAGTGAACTGTGGCAGTCGACATCTGAACAGATGGGTACCAAGTTCCAAATGACGTCAAGGAATCACCATGAGTCAAATGGCCAAGCAAAACAGATGAACCGGGTAGTACAGCACCTGCTTCGGCATTATATTAAGCCAAGTCAGGATGACTGGGATGAGAAGTTACCTCTCGTCGCCAGCCTGTACAACAATGCTGTGCACAGTACTACTGGTATGACCCCCAACCAGCTACACCTTGGTTGGAAGCCCAGAACTGCACTTGACTTTCTGCTACCAGAAAGGCAACCCACTGCAGCACCTGGCACCATAGAATTTGCTGTTAAATATGAATAGATGCGGCAGCAGGCCGTTGAACACATTAGGAAGTCTCAGAAGGTTATGATCGCATCCGAGAATAAACACAGACGGCCCTCTAACTTTCAGGTAGGTGATAGAGTTTGTCATCTGAACTGGGTCAGGAGATGGGGATTTCACGAAAACTGATGCCGGAGTACTTTGGGCCCTGGGAGATCTTGGACATTGTAGCGGATCAACCGGATGGGCCCTCGTACGTGATTCGTATTCCTGCGCACTTACACACATACCCTGTGTTCCATGCCTCTAAGTTGGCACCTTTCGCTGTCACTGACCAGTTTCCCTCAAGGAGATCAATGCTGCCCCCAACCATGGATGGCGAGGTGGATGTCGACCAGATCATGGAGCATCGAATGATGCCTGTTCCTCGACATTCAGGCAGAGGGCGCCCTCCTAAACCAAGAATGTAGTATCGTGTGAGATTCATACATCATCTGGATTCCAAGGAAGATCACTGGTTCACACGAGAAGAACTTCTGAGAACAGCACCTCAAGTGATTGAGGGCTATGAAAGAGAACTGAGAGGGAAGATGCCTGCAGAATAAGAGACTTCTCAGAGGACTAACGAAGTAAAGGAGGAGGGGATGCGAGGATCTGGGTCCTCGGCAGGCCTAAGGGGCCCCGGTTGCAGTGGTGCCCGCCCTAAGTGAAGGCGGGCCTAACTTATCACAAGAGGCCTTTGACTGTCAATTTCCTATTTGGGGTCCACGCAGTTGCGACACGCCAATTAGTTGAGTGAAACACGGGCCGAGCAACCAAGACATTTCCACAGCCTTCTGGGCCTCTCCGAAACATGCAAGACCTGGACGAGAAACGCAGCCTATACACTGACAGTTGGGAGGCCCAGCCGAAAGAGGCCCAGTAGCTGCAAAGTAGCACGCAGCATCCTGGGGCCTACCGGAAGCTTCTGGGCCTAGGCCAAGTCCAGCCAGGCTGCGAACCAGGCAGGCTCTTTCCATATAGGAAAGAGCTCGCCACTCTCAGCCTCATTCAGGCACTCGCATGCTAGTGGCAGCGCTGCTGGAGCAAAGGCTCGTGGGCTGCTGCTGGCGCTGAGAGGCGAGACGCAGCACGTGCGGTCGTGCAGGGAAGAAGTGCACTGCTGAGGGCAGCGCCATAGCCCAGCCACCATAGCTGGTGGGCTTGGACTACAGTGAGGCGCATGAGTGGTCTTCGGGTGTAAGGGAGGCAGACGCGGGTGTAAAGTCACGGAAGGGTGAAGGATGATGATGATGATGATGTGAGGGCACATACCTTGTACTGGCGATGGTCTGCATTGAGCAACATCTTCAAGTACTTCAGGTTGCCGCTGATGTCAACAGTTGCATTGTCAATTAGTAGGCTGATAATAGCTGTGTAGGAGTAGGCTGGGCGCTGAGCGCCAAGTTGGTGAGTGAAGGGACTGGACTCTTGTGTTGGTGAGGAGAGAGAAAGCTCTCCGTGACATTGGTTTTCAGTACTACGAACCTCCATTGGTGTATTATTGGTGCAATGCTGCTCTCTGGACACGGTGTGACTATCTGGCTTTCAACGTGATTGTGTAATCTGGATTTGTCATCTCGTTGTTGCTCATTTTCCTTGCAAAACTAGGATTTGAATGAATTTTTTTCTTTCTTTTGATCGATGCGCTTGACCACGACATATGCACTCGTGCGGAGGACGACGTCGACGGCGGCACGATTTTGTGTAATGAGCAGAGTGAACGGAAAGGGTACAAGGGGGAAGACGGGCGCCGCGCAGTAAGTGCGGGAGCTTGATGGCCGTGGGTTAGTCGGC